AAATACATTTAAACGTAAGCTGTTAAATGTGTAGTGATCTAAAGCGGAGCGGATATGATGCCAGAGCTCAACCAGTGTCAGTAAAAGGAATAAGTGGCACGCCACTTTTTTTAGCATGTTTTTGCTATTACAAATGGCTACTCTGCGTAAATTCCTGTTACCTTTAGTAGCTGTGGCTTTCGTTTTAGAAGAGTTAATTTGAAGCAAATCTGCCAAACGCTCTTTGCTGTGTTGCCTTATCTAGGAACAGTGCGTTAGGTATCTCTGCCCATCCGTGCTGCTATGCGCGGCACCGGTAGCGCCCCCTCGTCTATATACAGCACCTGCTTTGCCACCAGTCAGTCTGATACATTGCTGCTGTCGTTGTTGCTGTAGGAGCCTTCGATCTCCAACCAGATGATGTTCATTTAGTGACTTTCTGCGTAACAGGTAAGAAAATGTTTTGGTTTTTGAAGTATCTTTAGCCAGTGAAATCAAAGCGCAGGCGTCTTTTCACACGTGGCTTTTTTATCCGTCCCATAAGAAAGAACAGCACGAGTCCTCCGTGACGATTTGTAATTTTTAGTTTTATTGCCGGTAGCGTGTGTGGCGATGTCAAAGAGACGGCGCAGCGAGGGTGCTCTCCTTACCAAGTGCTGCTGAAATGCAACGGACGGCAGAGCCACCCGCAGTCGTTGCCAGGTTATTTATTTCGCCACCCTTGTCCCACGGGAAGAGGCTGTGTCCAGGGGTGTCCTGAGGCGGCTGAGGAGGGCGCTCGCAGCCCTCTGAGCCGCTGGGTTGTTGGCCCTGCCTCCCTGCAGGTCCAAAGGAATTCATGAGCCCATTCAGGGGGTTCATAGTGTGCCGTGTCACGTAAAGGAAGAAGAAACTTCCTTTTCTTCATATCACGCTCGGGTCGTACGCCCATCGTTGTTGCATTTCAGCGCTGTCGGTGACCAGCATCTCTGGAACGCGGCGGCGCGGTCGTTCTGCATCGTGGGGTTTTCCTGCGAACGGCCCGTGCGGGACGTGGCAGCTGGCTGGGGCTGGCCGTACTGGTAGGAGAGGAAGAGCTCTGCTCCGGGCCCCGAGCGCCTTGTTGCTGACCTCTACCACCTTCTCCATATTTATTTCTTTTAGGCTTCCGTGGGTTTTTTTCCGTCTTGATGCAACGTCAGATCTGTTCTCTGATAACACACAACTAAATGAGCGCTGCTCAGACAAAAATCCAAAGCCTCATGAGTTTGACTTTTTTTTTCCCTTACAGAACTAAATGACAGAGAAGAAAAGGATGTTCACTTCCCAATCATTTATGGAATAGGTGAATTCAGTTAGAATTCAATTATCCTTTTTGTAACTGGATTGCTTTTCAGATTCCAGTCGTAAATGGGCTGCTTTTAATGACGAGGTAAAGCCTGTCCTAAAGGTTAAGTGCTGCTGTTGGAGGCATGGGTAGAAATACAGGTTTTCTTCTGGTACCGCAGTCGGGTAGATGCGCACAGGGAAGCGGCCGTGTACAAATGCGAGCAGACTTTTTCATTTAACTGGCATTGTGATTTTTGCCAATATCAAGCCGCTGTGCTGACCTTTGGGGTTAGAATTCAGCCGCCGTTTCATTGTTCATTCTGTGATTTTTCTAATTAGTTTAAGTATCTCTGAAAATGGTCTTCTGCCCTATCGATATGCTGCCAAAGCAAAATAAGTAGAAATCTGCTATCACTCGCAGGCGCTGCGGTACTGAGCAATACAAGAATAGTATTTATTTGATGGGTTCCGAAGTTCCTGCAGCATAGCTGTGTTGGGGACGCGGTCATTGTAAACAAGTGTTTTGTAAGAGTTAATGTAATTGTTTCTGCATTTAAACTCTATTTCCTACCAGCCGTGAATGTTAAAACAGCAGAGATTTTCCCTGCAACCTTCCCAGAAAAAGGGCCGGACGAGGATTTGCGCTCAGCCCACGTTTTAACAGGGGCAACGGTGAGTAAAACCAAGAGGGGCAGCAGGGGTATTTTTGCTGGAAGGGGAGAGACCAGGGCAATGAAACGGCAGAAGTTCGAGCAAAAAATACTTTGGTAGGGTTCTGTCAGTAGCAAAACAACTGAGAAGGATGGAAGAGGAGAGGCAAAGGGTAACGGTGGGGATCAGAGCACTTCTGAGCCGTCGGCTGCCAGGCAGCACAGCTCGCTCAGGTGAGGTTACGGCCAGCCCCGCAGCTTCAGCACTTAGGGAAAGGGGTTCGGGTCAGGGGCGTAATCCCAGCAGAATCCTTCAGTTCTGGGCGCGTTGTTACAGTTTAATGTCGTTTGTCAGAATAAGCGGTTGATCTTACGGCAGGAGGAAAGCAGCGGGGCCGCGCGGGGGCGCCGCATGTCTCGCTGGCGCGCCGCATGTCTCAGACAGAAGCGGCAGCTGAAGGCCTTGCAGCTTAAGTGAATTTGCTGCCTTTTTCATCTGCGTAAGCACTGTCCGATCCTTAAGGCTCCCTGTGTCGTTACAGCTGACCAACATTTACGATGCAAAGATGGAACAACTCCATATTGGGCCTTATTTCTGGAGGCCTTTCCCACATGTGGATTTCTGGTTGGAACAAGATGATAAACAGATTTTACAGGTACCTGAAACTGGCTTTTCTTCCCCTTCTAGCTGAGTAGAGCGAGGGGTAGGGCCTGTCAGACCTTTCCTGCCGTACTGCCGGGGAGGGTGGGAAACGACCTTATCAAAAGGCAGAATAATTGCGCAGGCTGTATTCTGCGTGTCAAGCAGCTCTTGCTCCCGTCTTTGTTTTTCAGAATCTTTCCACATCGCCCCTGGCCGAGCCACCCCACTTTGTTTCCCACATTAGGTCTACGCTGACATTTTTAAAAGAACATCCCTTTCCATCTCGCTCCCTGTTTCCTGACAGGAAACCTCGCATCTACAAAAAAAATGAAGAAGGGTTGTGGGAACAGGTTTGTTCCGACAGGATCTAACCTGGACCCAACCACCACAGCTGCTTTAGGGCAGTACAGTCCTGCAAGAAGCGCAGTCTGTTGCAAAAAGCGTACTGCTGGTCACAAATACTCTTGTTCCTGTGCTTTTTCAAAATAAAATATTTTGACAGAAGTAACTGGCTTTTTCTGCGTTACTGAGGTAGGAACCGCTGCTCCTTTGAAGTAAGAGTTTGGCTTTGTTTACGGTCTGTGGTACGCAGTTCGACGGGCAGAGAGGAAGAGAGGTAGCAGCGCTGGGAGGCTGCGAAGGGAAGTCATCGCCTTGGTGCGTACTTTAAAAAATTCTTTTCCACACAAAGTGAAAGAAAGTTGCGTGCGCTGAAAGCTTTCGTAACACGGGGAAGCGTCCTTCAACAATAACGTCATTCAAGAGCAATAATTTGAAGACTCTTTATTGAAACATTCAAATAGTATCTAAAGAATGAAGTTCACTCCAACAGAACTACTCGTTTAACACTTCCAAATATAAAAACATTAAAAATTAATCCTTGTGGCGATAACTTTATCCCCCACAAATCAATCTTATTAACATACTTCATTGCACCAAAGAAACCAGTAAGGAAGACCAGTCAACTTAATTGTGTTTGCACTTTAGAAAAATTGCACTCTGATTTACATAAGTTACCCCAACAGCAAAATTACCCTTGCTCGTGGCACCCCGGCCCCACAGCATCTAGAAGCTGAAAGTTAAATCAAGTGACAGTACAATTCAAAGACCCCAAATTTTCCAAATTATCAAAGTCCTGCTACCGCTGCAGCCGCTCCGGTGTTAATGTACACCTTCGGGGGAGAAAAACCCCCAGGCGAACCCCCAAACCAACCACAGCACTTGTATCCAGCCCCAGAGCCACGGGATGGTTTTCCTCCAACTCAGGTACCTGGGGGGAGCAAGCTTTTCCAACGATCTCCTTTCTGCAAGAGGCTCCGAAGGTGTGCAGCAAAGCAATTACGATAATTTGGGGCGGGGGGGAGACCTGGACACCTGCGATTCATCCAAAGCTTTCCTCGCGCACTAAGCGGTTCCAGACACCGCGAGGGTGTGCTGTAGTGTAAATAACCTAGGTAATTCCTTTGAGTCTGTACAATTCCTACAGTAGGTAAGTTACTGTTACTCAAAAAATAAGTGTTGAAGCCATCACAAATGTATTGGTTTTTCAGGCTTTACTACAACCATCTTTAAAAATACACAACAGAAAGAACTCCAGTTACACTACATAAACGTGTTCCATAGCATTCGGTTTATAAACGGCGTGCAAAGGAAAAGAACGGTGTCGGGGCGCTTTCCGGTGGCGGAAGCAGGAGGGCGCTCGGGCACGCGGAGGCACTAGCGCTGTCCGAAAGGCTTAACCCTCCTTAGCGGCGTCCCCACCGCACGAAGGGGTCCGGCCACAGGAGAGCAGGGGATCGCCGCTGGCGGCACAGAGCCCTTCGGCGACTCCCGCGCACTCAGGCACCAGCCCCGAATGCCGACCGCCCCACAGCTGCTGGCAATGATGCTCTTTGTAAGGGTGAAAAAAGAAGCGAAAGGGAGCTCGTGTGACTGCAGTAGATGTTTTGCAGGAGAGGCTACACTGAATTTTAAATATTAAAAAGGTGAACGATTGGCAGCTGATTATTTTTTAAAGTGTACTAACATAAAAGAAGATCATTTGACAATTATTAGGTACAGCTGTATTCTTAATCTTGTGCATGGCTGATTGGTTAGTTAGCAACTATCATGCTTAGATCGCTACAGGAAGGATAACTGCCAACTGTGTGTACCAACGTTGATGAGCAGTTAATGAAGGGCACTAGTACTTTGGTGACACTGACGTGTAGAGGATTAAAGCAACTGTAACAAGCGTACAATAAGACAAATCTCTGTCCCATAGGGGGGAATCTGAAATTGTGCAAAATCCCAGTTAACCAGTTACAGTAGTCGTTGCTGTACTAGTGTGTGGCACTCGTCACATTTTAAACGCATCGTTAGTACCCTGCCTCCCAGGGCGCAGGCTTCCTCCGCAAAGTCTGAAAGCCACAGTCTGGATTTTATCTTTGACTTTCTTGTTCCTCTGCCTTCGTGCAGTCGTGGGGCGATTTGTCCCTTGGAACGTCCTCGGCCTCTGCCTTTGTCACCTGTGCCGCCTCCTTCCGCTCCTCTGTTTTCTCTGTCTCCAAAGGTCCTTGCTCCTGGCCCGGGAGCAGCGCTGGGGGTCTCTGATCCAGCTTCTCCAGGTCATCACAGTGGCTGACCGAGCTGGTCTCACTGAGCCCGTCAGAACTTCTTAGGGACCTTTTAAAAATCTTCTGACCTGTAAAGTGTTTGAAGAATGCAGTACCACCCAAGGCAGCAAATACAAGACGCAGTACGCACAAGTTACCTTCCAGAGAGAGCATCTGAATTTTACAACTGCAAAGAAAGAGATTTTATTTGGGTGCTAACTTGTTCCCTAAACAGAGACAGATGCGCAGTTACAGGTGCGCGGGCCAGGCAACAGCACCTGTATCTTCTCCTGTGCACGCAGAGACTATTGAAATTCAGCTGAAAAACAAGCTGCCCACAGGCACGGTGAAGTCATTCCAGGGGAAGGACTTGCACCAAAAAAAAAAAAAATGGCAGGCTGGAAGCCAACCAACTGGAACGGCGAGCTAAAACTGTGGTTTTCCTGCCACTCCAATCAGCATTGACTGCTAACAAACTACACAGCAAGGGCCACAGAGGGAACAGGTCTTCACCCCAGCCTGACACTGTCCACAAAATATTAGGTAGCAACAGAAATACAGTTGCTCAAATCCATGATTAGACATTATTTATGATTTCAAATAAAGCTTTTGGCTTGTTCACCTGCTATTTTTTAACACTCAATAGCCTCATAATATCCCAGAGGAAGATTCCAGGCTTCCCAGGCAGTTGTTAGGTAATGGGATAACAGCTTCCCGCAGCCCCAGGCAGAAGCCTTGGGGAGAAAACAGGCGGGGCCGGTGCCCTGCGCCACGCTTCAATGAAGGTTTTTAAGGCCCTAGAAGATGAGCTCCGGTTCCAGGTATTACGGAAGATGGAAAATCACATGGGTCTTCCTGTGTCATGCGACTGGGATGGCAGATGTTTTGGCAAGGCTTAGAGATAAAACTAAGACACAGCAACTTACCTGGAAGTCTTTGCTTTGCAAGGCTGGAAGTAGGAGTTGGTGGTGGAGTAGTGCCCGTTCCTTGGGCTTTTGATACATACGTAGATTCTGTGGATTCTAGAGAGCCTGCAGGTTAAAAAAAAAAAAAAGTATCCAGTTGATTATGGCAAAAACCAGACAAGTTTTCTGTTCATCTGTATTTCTAGGGACGTAACAATCTTATTTTTACTGCGCATTTCTGAGACGGCACGTGCTAGGTTGATTTGAAACTGCCACTTGATGGTAACGCGTTTCCAAGTGCCTGGGGAGGAGTGCTGAGGCTTGCAAAGACGAGGAAAGTTTCCCCTCGTGCTACTTCACAACACTGCTGCGCCCAATATTCCTCTTCCCCTTGACACAGAACCACAGAATCGTTAAGGTTGGAAAAGACCCTTAAGATCACCGAGTCCAACCGTTAACCCAGCACTGCCAAGCCCACCACTAAACCACGTCCCTAAGCACCACATCTACCTGACTTTTAAATACCTCCAGGGATGGAGACTCAACCACCTCCCCGGGCAGCCTGTTCCAGTGCCTGACTGCCCTTTCGGTGAAGAAAATCTTCCCAGCTGCAAGCTACTGAGCAGTGCCCGTGGAAGGGGTACCTGGCTACGAGGGGGAAGTATTCCCACAGAAACCTTGCTGTTCTCTGCCCTAAGAACCTTCTGGCTGGTGCATCCAGAATCGGGAAGAAAGATCCCAATACTGCAGAAAGCCTTCCTCGCTGTTTGCGGAGACACACAGGCAGCTGGGCTGTGTTCTAGGTCCGACAGACACTTTGCCGAGTTCAGGAATATTCTTAAGACTCTGCCACACTTTTTACAGTGAAAATTTATCAGTTTGGAAAGTACTATGTTAGTACATCAGTCTTAGTGACGGAAAAGCTGTGGACAGTCCTGTTCACATCACCAGACACGAGTTACAAACATACGAGTAAAATAACAGTCTTTTACATTGTAATATTCCATTCGTTACCGTCTCCCACGGCGCCGCGTTCACGCTAGCCTTCAGCTAGTTTTAGCCTGTCCTTGCCAGACCTTGCGCTACTTAGCGGGCAAACCGGAGCTGTATCAGCGTGGCAACAGCCGGACGATGCCTCAAACCAGGATTTCAGGCAGAGGCACCGAGTTCCAGCAGCGCAGCGGAACGTCCGAGTGCCGCTTTGCAAGCGCCCTCAGGAGGATGCATGTGCATATCCACGGGGAAGCGACGTTCCAGCGCCTGAGCTACCCTGCTCCCTTACGTAGATTTATAAACACAGCATAAATGCCAGACTCTTGCAGCAAAGACGCAGAAATGAGTCCTCTATTAATAAATGCCAATGTCTAATATAGCTTTTTTAATATGACTCAACATGCAAGAACAAAATGTAAACTGCACAAGTGAGAAGATTGTCCTGTTGGGCGTTACAGAAATAGTGAAGAGCATGCTCCTTTACATCCCGAGGGTGGATTATGTCGCTCACGATCAGATCAGCACAAGAAGCGCGTTGAATTTTAGTATAAAATTGGAAACAGTTCGAACGACAGCATAACATGGCTGCAGATGCACTGAGTCCTACCTGCTGTTAAATTAAATGTTCTTCCCTTTGGGGAGGCTTGGAACGGAGAAAACCAGTTCAGCACAGAGCCTACTACAGGTATTTGTCGGAGCAGTCCCTGCAAAGTACACAATTAAACGCTGGCTGGTGAGCAAGCTGCCCACGTCGTGACAAGTTACTTCAGGTTACCCAGATAACTGATTTTTACAGCCTCACCTCTTCCAGAAGTCGCTCTTCATTTGCTTTCTGAAGCTGAAGTTGTGCTTCCTGTATCCCTTTTCTAACAACTTCAGTCATGTTTTCCAACAGCTAATAAAAACCAGAAGTTACATTGTCATATACATTATTTGGACTGGAAATTGTCTTTTTAGTTCAGGTTTTGAGGATGTAAACATGGTAGTCAGATATTTTTCTACTTTAAGACAGTATTTGAGAAGCACCATTTCATTATGACTGTAAATTAAAGATGTATGGGCCAACCGCAGGATTTTTAAAAGATATACCCAGAGGACAGAATGTCATTTTACGCAGGAATGGTACCTATTTTTTCACTTTTACTTAGAGACGAGCCTGTGACCCAAATTCTTCAAAGATCGGCTTAGCACAAGTGTTCGTCAGATGCCGAATCTGACTGGGAAAAATTTTTAGGTTTATAGAGTAGATTTTGGTTTCTGTAAGTGCCGAGGACTTAACCAGCCTCACACTAAGTCCAACCAGGTACGCGTCAGTTCAACTTTGTTTTTCAAATTTAATATGTGACTGCCAAGCCGATCCCTGTGATGTCAGTGATGTTTTACACGGCAAAGGACAAGCAGCTTACTGGGAGAGCTGTAGAGGCAATAAATGAACAAACCCAAGAGATCAGAAAACAAAGTCACAATTTTGTCATGTGCAAGACAAATGCCAATGTCCGTAACTTACTACAGGTTTTAATATTGCACAAGGCCTAGGTGACAGGCACTTCCTCCGAAATGCCAACAATTTGGGTTACTGTCAGTTAATAAAAGCAAAGGAAAAAGAGGAAGCTGCTCCTTTTCCCTGGAGAGAGGCAAGCCAGGAATTCGCCACCATGGCAAGCGAAATACCCCCATGCGCTGACTACAGAAAGGACCGCAACAGGGTTGCGTTTAGAGTACAAGGAAGAACCGCTGTGTTTTCTGGTCCAGTCAAGATGTTTGTCTTTAGTTGTGGTTCTGCCTTTTATCTGTAGGTCCTGAGGGCTTGCTGATACCGGAGTAGGTTTTTTTTCTAAAAGCTTCCCTCTTGTACGCCAAACATCACTTATCTAAATGATGCAAGTGTCATTCTCACCGACTGGTTCTGCTTCTCACTTTTGGATCAATTGGTGTCAGATCCTTCCAGTACCACAGATTTATTGTAGCTGGTTCCAAGGACTGCACCTTTCTGAGTCCTCCACTACTCTTTGCTCCTCCCCAGAAGCTTCAGGATCAGAGTGGCCCATATTCCAACATTCGGTTCCTAATCTCTCAACTACGACGGTTAAAAACCGGACAGTACTCTACAGGCAAACCATCTTTCACCTCGCCCTCAAAACAGCATAGGAAGTCAGGAGTGGGCAGAAAGTCTCCAGAAAACACTGCTAGAAAAAGTTGCATTGCCAAAATCAACATATTCCCATGGGCAGAAACAGGCAAAGGATTTCTGAAGTTCGGTTTATTTTTTAGGTGAGGAAATGCCGTGGCCAACGCCACAGGAACAAAAGGACATTCACTCATTTGTGATGCAGGTCATTTAGGGATTCTACTTTGGAGAACATTTGGAGAACTCTAATCAGGTAAATGCTTTTACTAAAAGGAGTTGCATCATCAGCTTTATTACTTCAATAGGTAATTTGTAATTTCCATTTTTAAGCCACCAGTTTAAAGGTTTTCACACATTTTAGGGCACAGTCTCATCTTAAAGCTGGTATAAACAACCTCAATCCCACCACATCTACTGGTGATGAGAAACACCAGCTCAAATCAGCCCTCACCTTCCTTTTTTTCTTTGACAGCTTAAATTTTAGTGATAAAATGAGCCTATTTCAGTACTACAGAAGTTTTTCATTAGAACTACTGAACACAGGACCATGAACAGAAGTCAGGACATTCTCAGGATATCATAATCCTGTAACAAAAGTCCTCCTTATGTGGACACAGATCGTTACTTCCACAGTAATTAATACCATTTGTTGCGGGCAAGTACAAATTTTTACTTTCACAAAGAACAAAACCATGTCCTGAAGCCAATATGGAAAGGGAAAAAAAAAAAAGTGCTGAAATTCCCTGAGATTTATTAATACATACTCTCGAGTTTTCTTCAATTTCTCTGCCTGTTGCTGCAATAGTTTCAACTAACTCGGATACGTCCAGATCCTCAGTCACCATGCCAATATAAACGCAGTTCTTCTGCCCTCCGAATTCTGGACCTGTGAGAAGAGGGAGAATCAAGTCGTTGCGATGCACAAAAATGCATTCTCACAACCGGTGCAACACTCGTGCTTGCGAATCTGGAAACCCTAATACATACACACACACGAACGCTTCGGTAATTAAGGGCAGCATCTGCATAGGTATAAATTATGCAGACTATAAAAGCTCAGCCCTGTGGGTTTTCAAAAAGAGAAGAGAAAATAACATCTCAACAAGAAAAACAGTGGATATTTTATACAGCCAAGGAGCGGTACAATAAGTATCAGGGCTGAAGAGGCTTCAAACTCGTTACTTTCTGCCCTTTACAGATTACTTGGTTCCGCAGTTCTAGGGCACGTAATTTTTGAAAGCTGACTAGAAGAAGATCAGAGTTCTGAGCAAGCAAATTAATATTATTTCAGCTATAACGTGGCACTATGTAAACGTGAAAGTGCTGCTAATTATCCTGAAAGTCATGTGAAGCTTTTAATCTACCCACAGAAAGCAGTGAACTGGTCAGTGGGGTTGAATGAGATCTGCTTGTCACTAGATAGGGCAGTAACTGAGAAGGCGCGCTTTACAAAGAGGAACGCTGCAGCTTTTATTCTTTCTGACAAGGAAAGACTTTGGTTTAGTTGCTGGTAAGTCAGTTTTCACACTTATTTCTGAGAACAGCGCACCTTGCTCACCTGCTGAAAAAAGTTACCGATGTCGTTTCTACAATAACCATACACACCGCAGTGTCATTTTGCATTATAATGACCTATGTACGAATGATCTACTGAACCGTAACACGGCCAGTAAAAGGACTGTTAGCTTGAACAGAAGTTTTTTAAATAGTGCAATTACCCAAAGAAAAAGTGAGATCCGACTCCAGTTCATTTAATTTTTTCAGAAGTTCTGTATTGATTTTTTCTAGTTCTTTTTCTTGTTTGTCATCATTCTTCCCATCACTGTGATGGCTGTATCTTCAAACCAAGCCAGAAAACAGTAATTTCACTTTACAGTACATACAAAAATATACAGACATTCAGCACGTTTCTACAAACTTCTGTATTTTACCAACCAAAAACCTCAAAACATCGCGGCTTAGATCAACAAATTTACTGGCATTTGTCATCAGAGATCTTGGGGTGAGGGGAGGTTGCTGCTGCAAGCTTAACCGAGCACAGCAGATTTCTAGGTAATACATTGATCGTACTTCAACTGTTTTGACCATACAGCGTCCTTCCCGGCAGACAGCGTCAGAGGATCAGAACAGACGCTTGAAGGGTTTTATTCAGTATATTAGTGAATCCCACTACAGATAAAAATCTAAGTTATACAGTAGGATGCACTTGCATATTACAGATCTGCCTAACAGATCCACACACTGCCTGCAATGTCAGAACTGTTGCCCTAGTTTTGCCAAAACAGCTCTTCAGCTTTTCTTAAAAAAAGAAAAAAAAAAAAAAAAATCTCAAAGTAAGCAACATTAAAAAGGTCATTTTTTAAAAAGCACTCAAAAGCTTCACCTGGGTGCAAAGCCAGATACTAATCAGCAAACAAGACATACAAATCACCACTAGAGAGATCACGTATTCCTTTCTGTTAATGCACAGTCTATCCAAACATATAATGAAGAAAATATTGAAAAATTTACCTTACAACACCTAATCCTGGCCAGCTGAGATCTTCAATATACAACAGGCCTACTGTTCTTCTCACTTCTTGCTCAAATTCCTCTCTCAGTTGCAGTGTACTTGTCAATACCGGTATCTTCATTTTTAAGCAGTCTACTAACTGATCAACATCTTGTATTTCAGTTCCTAAAACTAAAGAGCTGATGTGTTAGTGTGTGATAAAAGCGAACGGACATACACATAGATGCCTGAATTAAATAAGTAATCTGTAAAGAAGCCACTCTAAGTCAATCATAAGTATAACTTACAGACAGTATTGAAACATCTTGATCTATCTAACAGAGTGTTTTTCCTCAGTTATCTAGCCGCTGATACACCAAAATGGAGAGAGCTAACGATTGCATAAAAAATAAGCTAATAAAAAGGATTTTCTGATGTTACAAATAAGGACAATACCCTTCTTCATTACATAAGTAGCTAGCATCAGAAAAATTCCTCTTCCATAGCTAAACAGATCATAAATTGGCTTCCATACTGGTTAAAAAAAGAAAAAAAAAATCATCACAGCATCACCAAGTTATTTTATTCTAAAATCCACTTTTCAGTGTGCACCAGGATCCTCTCACGTCAGGTATCAGTGTCAGGTGTTTTGATACCCTAAGCTGTTCACCCCACAGAAGCTAAAAGGAGACACCACGCATCACCCCGAGCCCCTTCAAGTTGCTCTGTGCGTCTGCTGCATCTAAACAAAGTATGTACGCAGTGCTGGCTTAAACATGAAATTTAAGACACTTTCCAAAACACAGATTTTAATTTTTTTCCCCTCTTACATCACTAATTATAGAAAAACCTAGAGGTTTAGTAAATAATTCTTTTAGTTAAGTACCTATATTTTGAACACAAGCACCATTTCAGTGTTGAAACACCTGTGTAGAAAGGTCAAACATCATCATCTTGTGTTAAGCAGCTGGGAGGAGGAAAAGTAGGGATGATTTATCCTTCATATTTCTTTTATAACTGTCACAAACAAAGAGCATCTCCCCTTGCTTTTCCTAATGAATTTAAAAAATAATCAAAGTCTCTCTCTGCAGAAGTAGCGAGGCAATCTCACGTACAACAGCTGAGCCACCTCTAATGCACCCATTGCCACGGCACAACAGAATGATAAAGCCAAGACAGTTTTGTTTATTAAAAAAATCCTCACCGCAGGAGAATATACTAGAGTTTCTTGAGTACATCTGCTTTTACACCGTGAGATTGTTCTACAATCCTATAGCAAATCCCAGTTTTTACAAGTGGCTGAATTAAGTGAATGTTACCTGCAGAAGTCATTAGTGGGCTAAAACGCACACATGTGCCTTCATCTTCCAGTTCTACCACATCAACGCCACTGGCAGGAACCAGCTGTGCCAGCTGCTCTCCTAGCTGAAGGGATGAGACACAGTTAAAGAAGTGCACAGAGCACGACCTCCTGCAGCCGCTGACTCGGGCTAGACTCGGGAGAAGCACACACTAAACACAGTTTTCTGTATTTCTCAAGATCACTTCTTGTAACAAAACACTGCAGCTTGCTGGTGATACGACAAAGTTGGACATATACTTAAAACAATGAAAATTTAGGATAAGCTACAAGCGTTACAAGTCAAAAGTTTCAGCAAAGTTGTCCTTGGCATTACGTATGCCATGACTACTATGCAACTGATGCAAAATAGTTATGGGCTCAGCTCTCTGAAAGCACAGGTTTCTAGAATTAATTCTCTTAAGATCTGGAAAAGACAGACCGCCTATTCAGGCATACACAGACATTGTCAGTGAAGTATCCAGCTGATTAAAGAGTTCTGAAGTTTTCACATTGTCCTGGTTTCAGCTGGGATAGAGTTAATTTTCTGCCTAGTAGCTGGTGTAGTGCTGTGGCTTGGATTTAGGATGAGAACAGTGTTGATAACACACTGATGGTTTAGTTGTTGCTAAGTAGTGCTTACACCAGTCAGGGACTTCTCAGCTTCCCGTGCTCTGCCCAGTGCACAAGAAGCTGGGAGGGGGCACAGCCAGGACAGCTGACCCCGACTGGCCAAAGGGCTATTGCGTACCGTATGACGTCATGCTCAGTATAGAAACTGGGGGAAGAAGGAAGGGTGGGGGCGTTCAGAGGGATGGCGTCTGTCTTCCCAAGTGACCGTTACGCGTGATGGAGCCCTGCTTTCCTGGGGATGGCTGAACACCTGCCTGCCGATGGGAAGGAGTGAAGGAATTCCTTGCTTTGCTTGTGTGCGCGGCTTTTGCTTTACCCATTAAACTGCCTTTATCTCAACCCACGAGCTATCTCACTTTTACTCTTCCCATTCTCTCCCCCATCCCACCGGGGGAGCGAGCGAGCGGCTGCGCGGTGCTCAGTTGCCGGCTGGGGTTAAACAACGACACACATATTCCCACAAGACCAAGAAAAAAAATCTACTACCGAAAGCTTAAGATGCAGTAATAATTTCAGTTGTAATTACATGTAGAATAATCAGAGATGTGAAAGCAACTTTCCTTCAGAGCAAATTCATCTTTTTAATCCAAAATACCTACTAGTTTTGCAAAGGATATCAGATCAAGAATAACTATCAAACTAGTGTCCCAAAGGTTTTATTATTACTGATGAACCCCTGGAAGCATTCCACTGTCACTTCTTTTTTCCTAAAGAGAAAAAGCATCCATTCTTACCCACTGATTGAAAGTGTCATAAATGTGTCTTTCGTTGCTTATTATGGGGTGCTGAATAGTTGAGGCCTGTGCAGCATGTGAGGTTTGATCTGAATCCAAAGATATAAGAATCACAGAAGTGGATTTTTATTTACTTAATTAAACAAAAGGCAACCTAAAATTTAGATAAAAGACAATTACATATCCTAGGCAATGTAACACATCTACACGATGTACTGGACCTAAAGCAGACTAACAAGGATTTTTTTTTTTTTTTAAAAGGTATGCTAAACATGACAAATACAGCAAGTAAAACAGTGTTGAATATACTAGTTTTTAAAACAACCCATAAAATACTTCTTTCAGTTCTGAAGTTCAAATGCCCCAATGGAAATAAAAACAATGTTTTCACAAAGCAAAGCCCTGTCACAGCAGGCTGCAATATTTAATTTGATGCATTCAGCTATTTTTTTTTACCAAGTTTTAAGGACTACGTTCTGTTTTAAACCATACAAAAATAATACTAAGGATTTAAGAGTCCATTATACACATAAAACATGCAGAAATGGCCAAATATCTTACATCCTTATAATGCAGGTAGATGACCTCTCCCTAGTAAAGCTTTTCAAATAAATGCATCAATGTACAAAGCAATCCAAGTCACTGGACCAGGATGAATAGGTTTACTTTGTAAGTGCAACCACTAATTAGATGAAAACCAAAACCAAACCTCCCCCATGTCCAACACAAAAAAAATCCACAGGGAATTCAAATCAACATTCATAACAAAACTACAACATTTTCTAGCAGTCTTTTGCCTCATCCCAGCTGAACACTTCCCCACCCTCAGAGCGTGCACAAACCAACAGCACAACTATGTCCTCTGTTGCAACTGACAGGACAAAAATCCTTTTTCTTGGAGAGCACGTCTAAGTAAGAACGCTCTGCTCAGAGCCGCACGTGGCACGGCTACTGTATACCCACAACAGTATTTCCAGAGCTGTTCCCAATGTGTTGTGCTATTTTTAAAACTATTGCAACAGCAAGTGTAATCAGTAAGACAGAGAAACGTGGTTCTTGCAACTAGCCACTAAAAGTTTAAAAGGAACAGAAAGCCTGAACAAAACCATGGAAGGTCTTCCCCCATCACTACACTCAAACACAGCCTGCAGCTTATAAGATACCTCCATCACCTGCTCTCAAGATCAAAATCATATGCAAATCTCTCCTCACTCAAGAAGGCAGAAAATGACTTGTTATGAAAATTTAAAACACTGCAGTCTATCTAAAAAAAGAACCTATCACACGTATGGAGTCTATCACTAGATTATGACCAGCATTCCCAACCTTTCTAACAGCACGTTACACAAGAGAAGCGCACTACATAACATTTACCTCATCAAATTCATGTTACGAATTAGTTGTTTTAAAAACTATAAAGAGAGGTTTTTTGGTTTTGTTTTTAAATAAATCACATACCTCTATTTGAATATTCCTGGAAGAACTTGAAAACCACCACTGGTGAACTCAGTTCATCTTCAACCTTAAAAAAGAATTAAGATATATTTTCACATATTTTTTAAAGATTTAACTCTGTGTATAAATCCTTAGACTGCTGAGCAGAGCAGGTCATTTTGTTTTGCCAGCAGTAACAATGTTCACACTATCTCAGTATTAGAAGTTAACGCTCTGCGTGTGAGCAAACATACCTGTAAACACATGAAAGTAAATCATTATTCAGTTAAAGCAGAACTGTATTGATCTAAGGTATGCACAATTAAAATTTGGGCACCATAAAGCAAGAAACCTAAGCGTGTTCATTAGCAAATATACCGTACTAAGTAGTTTATTTAGCTTTAAGTATATTCAGACATTAACATTAAAAAAATTCTCTTGGAAATCGCCCCAGAATCATTGGAGAACATCAACAAAGTTCCAGCAGGAAACCTGCTTTGGGGGTAGGAGAAATGGACTAGGCAACTTCTGGAGACAATCTGAGGCTATGTTTCACAATCCTAAAAATACAAGGTTTATTTAAGCAGAAGGGGGAAGTGCTACAGTTACTTGAACTCCCAAGGCCACTAACACTCTTGGAAAAACAACTTTTACAAAAATCGTTGTTGTCACTCAGAATGATCCACGAATTATCTATTGCCCCAGAAAACTAAGCTGAATGTATTTTCTATACTTCAAGTGTCAATTAAAATCAGGGGCAGGGGGAGGGGAGTAAAACCAGCAAACCAAACATCTCACAGAAACTGAATTTGGAATGAATACATTACATGTAATTTCTAAAACTATTTTTAGTGTCAAAACCTCAGCTGGGATAATTTTTGTGTACAGTTTCACAGTATCATCTCAACAGCAGAGTAAGATGCATCCAGAATGCATTAGATGGGCTTATGGAAACTGGCTTCATAAATGTATTACTGAACAAATCCATGTTTTAAATGGAATTAAATCAACTTCTGGAAACAATTTCTGGAAGTTGTTCTGTCAGCTCCACTAAGTGCATGACTACACAGCAATTAAACAAATAGAATCTAGAGGTCATGCACAACCAAGCCACACAATTTCACTGAACACCAGAACTTAATTAGAAAGATACCAAGCATCTTCAAAACAATGGCTATGATTTAATTAATATTTTTAAATAACTTTTTTTAATCAAAGTTATTCTTATCATCTATCAAGCAACGACTAAGCTATACAACCAAAGTATTAAATGTAGACTGTACCGAAGTTTTAATGAAATCCAGGTTTTTCAAGTTTTCCAGCAACCTTTGACTCTAGAAGACCACGGCAGAAGGGAAACAAAAGGAAGAGACAAACACACAGTTTTAGAAGTTGAAAATTATTCTGAAAAACATTAGTCACTACCATCATTTCTATTTCTGAACAAACCCCTATGACACGTCGGAGATTCATCCAGTTCTTATTTGTAAATTTAGAATGTAACGGAAAAGTATTTTCTGTTTTTAGTAAAACGCCAACTACAAAGTATTTTCATTAAAATAAAGTCTTGGTGTATTTGTTGACAAAGTTCCAGAGCTATTACAACTCCATCGAGTAACTAAAGCACAGTATGTAGCAGAGCAGTTAATCTTCTCAAAGCTACCATAGCAACTGGTTATGATGGCTTTCTAAATTATTTTCATTAGAAAAGACATTCTTATGCTGTGGTTTAAGACTATTAATAGACTACTATAAAAGCTATGGTCAATCTTAGATGCCACAAAATCTTGATGACTAATGATACTTTATCACTCTTCTAGGTCTTTCATGCCAACAGCTTCTTCACTAACCGTTACAGAAACTTTCCATTTCCATTTTGCCCTTCTTTGAATTTTTGGTAAGCGCTGTACCTTAAGGAAAAGTGTTTCGCATATAAACAATGCATTTTTTAACTAACACATTATATTGGACCTTAATTTTTCCTAGGGTAAGGACTCAACTTCAAAAATAGTGCACTTGCCACTGTATCTAAAGAAATGTTTTGAAGTCCTTTTTGTCAGGTATTTATAATTTACTACTACTTAAATCAATACGATGCCGAGTAGGAGAACAAGAAAGTCTTTCTCTGAACAGCTTTCACACAAAATAGGCAAAATAGAGAAGTGACAAAAAAAAAAAAAAGGAAGTGACTATGTTATTTTACTGTTTAGAAAGAACATAGGTAAGTATTTCTTAGTAAAAAACCTAATAAAACATACAATCTAATAGTAAAAGCACATCCCTCCCCCAAACGCTTTAGTCTGCTTTCATAATTTATTTGTAACATGATATGAACCAATATGCTATACTGTCAACAACTACAATATTTGTAGTTCATTCTTCTACAACGCATCACAATAATCAAAAAGATGTATGAACAGCTATTATAAAAACATTCCTAAGGGTAACGGTGTTCTGTGATAGCCATCTGGATATCGCTCATACTGTCGTTGCTATCTGAACTTTGTTTCTGCTTGGAGACTCAAACTGTTAAATGTGACGGTGAGGATTCTTAAGAGCAATCTCCAACCCATAATCAAAGCAGCGAAGTACCCATAAACAATGTGTCAACAAGCTGTTGCTTACTAGTTGTGAAGCATGCTTTATCCTCTCCACAATCCCATCGTGGCCCAGGTACTGCAAGGAGAGCCACAATGGCAGGGCACGGAGCTTCTCTACGGGCTGACTCGATGTCAGCCCAGCTGCTAAGGACTAAAGAGGAAAACAAACAATAAACAAACCACTATTAACCTCTCTTTAATTATTCAATTTTTGCCAGCTTATGCAATGTGTCGCAGCTTAAATAGGGGAGCTTTTGCAAATTATAATTTAGACGCTTATGAAGAACAAGACACTACACCATGATCAAAATTAAGGTCTCAAGACCTTGAGAGTAATGACTGAGAAGTTAAACATACCAAAGATGGATCCTCATGCCGGTACAGTGTCACTGCAGGCACAGCTGGGAGACCCAGCCAGGAACCCAGAGTAAGAGTCATGCTGTCACATTTTGTAGCAGCCTGAAGTTTATTACAATAAGCAGAATATAAGCCATATATATTTTGATTAGATCATGACCTTAAAATCTAGAGCACATTATTAAGTTTCCAGATATAGGAAAACATACCAGTACAGAAGAGGAGACGTAACCCAAAGCCAAAGTTGCCAAATTCACACTAGAAAAATAAAGTAGTTTTAGCACATATTAAAAATGTATTAAGAAACTGCATTTTAATCTTCAGTTTAAATATTTCATGTTGATGTGTATAGGGAGGTAATTTTTGTTCGTATATTTTTCATTATCAATGCAGTAGATGTCGCTACTTGGTATTCCAAGATTGAAAACCCAAAAGTAAAAATCCATTTCCATCTAAATATGTTTCAGTCCAACCTTTGGGGAAGCCATCCCCTGAAGTCCTACCCATAATTCAGCATCAACCTGGTATCAGAAATAAATAGCATGCAAATATAACACTATACAGTGAAATATCAGGAGAACCAGAGTCCCCACTCCAGAATAAAAAAGAAAAAAAAAAAAATCTTAAAGCAATGGAGTCTTCAATAACATTGTTTAAGTTCTTGGCATTTCTTTTCCTCTTGGTTTAATCCTCTTCGCAGTTACGCTGCACACTGCACTTGCAGCTGTCTCCTTGACAGCCTTCATTAAGGTGTCATCTCTTACACACTCATTTCATTCTCCTTTCTCATTCTCAATAACCACCATATAACGTCTCCCCTGACTTGTCCTATAAGGTCTTTTTATTCGTATTCTAAGCTCTTCAAAGCAAGGGCAGATAAGATTGCCATCTCAGTAAAAGTAACCACTAACCTATGCCGAAATAATCACTCCAATTAATTATTCCTGTATATGTAAAACAATCTCATACAGTGACAAAATTATAACCATATAAAATGCTTAATATGGCAAAAACAAAGACGGTCCTATGGCCCTCTACTAGCTGGTTAGCTGTAAAATTACGTGCTGTCCATTAGTCAGACTTTTTAACGAATATAGTTATACAGAAATAAATTTTAAGTTTCCTACCCTTCTACATGGAGCCACATGTTATACTGCTCACAAAGTTCCTTCAGTCGGCCAAGTTTATCTGTGTGCCCAGCACCTGGTGTCCCTTTGTTGAAAAGGAAAAAAGGCAATCGCAAAGGATAAGCATGCAAACTAGGACTCTACATAAAAGGACCTCTTGTACTGTTGTCAAAAAAGTCAGACAAGAGCAGGAAAGAGGGTGTTTAAAAAGAGCCCACTACACAATATTCATATCTCTTTCATCATGACTTACAAGCAATCGAAATTCTAGACAAAATATAAAGATACTTGTTTCGCTTGTCAATATACGTTCAAAACACTTAGAAAATTAGATGTCCTAGGCACTAAAAGACTCAGCAGCCTCAGATAAGAAATGCAGACATTTTTAACGTGTTCAAAGTATGATCTCAGACAAAGGAAACTAAACCAAGATTAACATCTTAGATACTTTTCCAATTCCAAAGCAAATAACAGTCACCTCCTTCCTTTGTACTTAAAACGGATTTTGTTCACAAGCAGTTCTGTTTAATTAACTAGAAGAAAAATATAATTTTTAAAGCTAAAGTTGATGGCACATGCATCAAAAAAATTCTGAAGTGTTAATGAGAAACTGATTTTCAACAAGAGATTTGCACTCACTGAAATAAGTTCTAGTCATATTAATACATCAGCTGACATAAGCAGAACTGTAGCAGTACAATCCAGCTTTAAATCAGTTAAATAAAAACCCCTCTAGACAAATAATTATTGTGTGGTCACTAAGATATTTCCTGATAGTTCTTGACATGCAACCACTAAGCTGTTTAAGAAAATATATTTTTATTTTGGATTTCAGATATATTCATGAAATAGCGTGCTTTTTTGTTATTGTTTGTCCACAGCACTTACCAGCATTGGCCACAAGCAACAAAGGCAGTTTTCCAGACTCAACATCATCTTTAATCAATCTGTCCAACAAAGCAACATCCTGTTATCAATAAGAAAGAGATATGTATTTATAAATATGTTTGTCAAACAATGCAGAATTGTTTCTGCTGAACTGGAAAAATGCATGAAGAGTGAAAACGGACAGCATTCTGAAGTTCTGGAAGACATTCTTAATGTCTTTGTTTGTGGCTTGCAGTCTCTTCTTCTCAAAGGTGAAATAACCCAAAGGTCAGACAAAGCATTTGTGAAAACTACACCACAAATACATCATGTCATTTGTAAACGTACCTCCGACCACACGTATTCTGGAGATCTTGGACTAAAAAGCACCTTACTGTATGCCATTAAAAATATCTTGCAAATGACAAGACCAAGATACAAGCTGCTGGCTTTTTAGAAGATTTCAATCTGTGATTTGTACGGCTATAACACAGAAGACTTAGAGCTTGAAAAAGTAAGTACATTAATAAGCTTTTCCTAGCAACATACTTGACATTCATTTAATGAGGGGTTTAAAAAAAATAAAAAGGAAAAAAAGAGCTCTTAAGACAAACTTACCATTTGATGCTGAGATCCAAACATAGTGTTACAAGGCACACGGCACATGCAAGAAAGGGGTAACCCTAGCTGCAATAGAAATGATGAAATTTCAACAACTGAGACATGCTTATTTCAAGCATTCACAGAAATATACACAGTGACACAAAAAATAGTAAACATGACAATAAAAAGCTGGATTTTACATTACAACGTAAGTTTCCTGCTAAAACTTAGAATCAAATTAATAGCAAAGAAAAGAAAGCACAAGAGAAATTGGAAAAAAAAAACCAACAGTCAACTTTTGGTCAGCACATCAACTGCGTTCCGATTTTCTAATGAGATACCCGCGCCCTGTACAACAGCCTAAACTCAATCCTCTTTCTTGGTCACCCTTGCAATTAATGCATCCTATAAGCAAACACACGCTTTGCGCACGGGCCACGTTCCACTGGAGGTTCCCAGTCACTTTACTACTGAGTAGAGAGCAATCTGCCTACTTTGATCACACAGCTCAGCTGACTGTTCATGCTGGCAAGTCTGAAGTTCTTCCTTTGCTACAGAGGCAAATTCCAGATAACTTTTGCATCGTTAACATGAAAGGGAGCTGGGGAATCAAAGTCTCTCTTATATTTTGATCTTTAACTTGGAAGATCGCTAAACAAGTAAAATCTAGTTGATCATACTCATCACTGAGCAGAAGGTTCAGCAAATTAAGAGAACTACAGTTAGAGATTAGTTTGGTTTTATCCTTTCATTTAACAGAAATTGAATTAATGTCTGATTACTCGGTTCCAATTCTTTGCTCTGTAATATACACTGCTTCTCAAAATCTAAGATAAAATGCTATCGCTTTTCAGTTCAGTGATCACCTAACGTGGCCAGATTACCTTATAGACAAAAGATAAGGCACCATTGCTACTAGCAGTATCTACTCTGTACTCAGAAGCAAAAGGCTCCCAAAATACTGATTCCTTAGGAGTATTTCTTGCATCGAGAAGTTTCAGTCAATAACTACATGCAACACTTGGCTTACCAAAGACGGCAACTTATTCCAATGAACTTTTACCACCTACTTCCCAAGTCATTTTGGCCAAGACAAATTCCATCTACGATACCATTTTTATTTTGCAGTCTACATTTTTAATCTGTTAGTAGTACCTCTGCCTGCCTTCTCCAAAGATTTGAAAAACAAAGGCCCCAAGAACTTGACTCTTCATTTCAGTGCATGTTAAGTTTGAAAAATATCACTAGTGCACTGAATGTTAGGTATGCAATAAAAAAAAAATCTGCGTACGGCCTCCATTAGCTTAAGTCTACAAATATTCGTGCAAATAAATACTTGGAAAAACCAACAAGTTTTAAACATAATTAGGAAAAACAGGTTTCTTTGAAGTGCTCGGTTGTGGGGGTAATCTTGCTATTCCAAACAAGACTTTTTGAAATGGGATCAGGACAGCCTACTTCTTGCTCAACTGTTTTCCTTTAAAAAAAATTATAACTTTTATTGAAAATAAGAGTACAGGGGCATCATTCAGTACAGTATTTGCAATAACTCAGTGTTTGGAAATCCAGTATACATTTGGGCTTGGGTCTTTTTCACCATGACCAACAGCTTATGTAAAGTGCAATGCAATCTAGAAACAATCACTTGTTTAAAAAAAAAAAAGTTTGCATATTTCCTTTCACTTGAAATATTCAGAAAATTTCTCTTCCTCCCACTGCATTGTTGCTGCAAAACACAGACTGTAAATGCAACCTCAAAGTATTTTTTCCAAACCAATGGCTTTAAATTAAACATACGTTACACTACAGCTACTGAGGTTACCCCTGTATGGACTTCGCTTCCTTTGCCTATGTTTTATAATTATGTTGGAAATCACAATTAATAAAGCAATACCAACACACTGTATAACAGTTATGTATTGCTAGCTTGCAGATATTTGCCTGGCATCAAAGTACGGTTCCACCTCAGACTCCCTTCCCTTCCCACCCCCCCGCTGTTTAGTCACATTGCTATTGTTTCTACCGTGAGGAAAAATAAGTAAGTTTTCAAAATCACCAAAGTTATGCTTTTCCTAAAATCAACTTTTTTGAGGCCAAACCTCAGTCAACCTCGACCTGTTGTGTTTCAACAGGCAGACACATCACCCTAAGTCTTAGAAACTTATAAAATTTTATAAGCTATAAAAATCTACTATGTCCATAGAAAGGCAAAGAAGAGATGAGGATGAAGGGAATCTGCTCATAAGGAACACTGATCAAGTGAATGTGTGGAAGGAACAGGAGAGCTGCAGAGAGAGCCTGCTCAGCTTGCTCGGGGATACATGTATTCAGTCAACACAGCAGCATTGGGAAAAATCTGGAAGAAGCTTCACTTCTAACAGTGGAAGTTCCAGGCAGACACATGGATCTAAAGGAAAACTTCCACTGGCCCCAACCAATTTACAAGACTGCTGCCAGCAGTGTACCAGACTGTACTGCAAGTACCAGCCTCTTGCAGGAAAAGTCTGAATATATTTTTTAAATCTAAATTTCAAATAGGCAACATGAAGCCAAGTAGGTTCTACTTGCAGCTAAAACCCCAATGGATTCACTTTACCTGATTGCAGAGAGCTTGGCCCAAGCCTGTTCTAGCTGCAGAACTAATGTATATGACAGGCTGTTTAGTATACAGCACGTTAAATCCTTCTACTGTATAATCTTCATAGCGTGTGTGAATAACAAGTCGACAGATTTTTAGGAGACCTTCACGATCATCTTCGTGATAATACGCTGATCCATTTTCATACCTGCAAGAAAAGCCAAGTAAATATGACCAACAAAACCAACAGCCAGTTTAGTGTCTGAAATAACACTGACCAGCGAAGGAGCTCACAAGAGGACAGAGAAGATAGACAGAAAAACCTTCTGTTTTCCCAGGATAAAGTAGAGTAAAAGGAAACTTTGATGAGACAGGCTGAGATTAACAATGAGGGAAGCCTAGTATATATTTTCATTTACACTCAGAGATAAAGTAAGAAAGAAAAAACACCTGGGTTCCTATGGATTTCCTCTACAGAGTTCAGAACCTTACTTACTAAGAGTGGAGCCAGGGAGGAAACACACGAAAGGCTTCATCTGGGTTTAATATATAGGTAAATTCTGGACTGCTAATTTTCAAGAGAATGCAACCTGACATTCTTAAGTTAGTAAAATTGGACTGAGACACATGAAGTAAATGAGCAGGAATTTGCAAACTTTATTATGAAATCAAAATCAAGATATTTTTTAATGCCCAAAATTACTGATGTCATTTGTATTTTAGAGAGTTTGAAAACAAGACCAGTATTTAGAACAATCTATTCGGCACACTGCAAGACAGTTTTCCAGATGTTTTAAATGTGAGTTACATAAATGAAGTATATTTTTCCCCAGAAATAGTTTAATGATTTTATGGCTATTTTGCCTTCAATCTGATTTACTAGGCATGTTTCCTTGGGGCTCGTGGGGGTGTGTCTGCTCCTCCCCCACCTTTTTTAACCCTTCTAAGAATCAAACTCGGATCAACACATTAACATTTATAGTCAAGAAACAGGAGCAAAGTCACCAAAGAAGAGACAAGGTACAAGTGTTCCACACTGAGGGCAATCCCTCAGCTGTCTTAACTGTAGAAAAGGAAACAGCAACTGTGAAAGTAGTAGGTGTGCCAATTTATTAAGCAACTCGCAAGCTAGATTTTCCTTTTAGCGTTTTTGTGCAACACACGTATCAGTGGTCTTGCACAATTCAGGAGCGGCATTTATCAACAAATTTACATACAGGCCCTGAAACATCTTAGGTTATCACAGACTACCTGATGCACAAATACTGCTGAGTATTCCAGAGTTAAACTCCAGAATGACCCACAGGCAAACATTTACTTCACCTTTACACAACAGTTCTGTGATCTAACATGGGCAAAGGGAAATTCCTCTAGTGTTGCTCATAGCCACAGAAAATGCCAAGAAGTATGAAGCAGGTCACAGCACGGTATTTGCCTATGGGTCACAAAACTTTAGGGACCACAGTCCAATAGATACTCACCATTAATCACAAAATCACAATGTTATTAATTATTTGATTCACAACAGAAATATTTCTTTTTGCTAGCCATGCCATTTAGAAACAGCACTGACACACTCTCCATATACGCATACATTTGTGAAAATAAGCTGGGACTTCTCAAATTTCATCATTGCACAAGGTTTCAACGTCTTTAAGTCAAAGACAAATAAAGAGAATCATTGAATTTATAAAATAATTCTGATAGAGGTGAGCGCATAAATGTAAGAAAAATCCTTTGTAATTCTAACAACTAAATTTGGGTTAACTTCAGTTATATTTTTACCATTTCATCTTGCACTGCGCTAAAAAAAGAATTAATAAATAAATCTTCTCCTCAGTAGCACTGGCAAGATTTTCTGAAAGATACAGTATCATGAGATGGAGAAAGTGTGGTGGGTTGGTTTTTTTTTTTGTGCTAAAAAAAAAAAAAAGAAAGAAATTTCTAATCAGTGAATCCCCCCCACTCCAACACCTCCACACAGTTGATTTCCATTCTTCTCTTGTGGAACAGTTTAAGATATCTATGCTACATGATGAAACAGGCATTTATGAAAGATTTCACTGTACTGTAAATTTCAGTATCATCACCTACCATACCTGGAAAAATAAACTAGATCCAGGAAGAGCAAAGGAGAAGTTAACTGAAAACATCTTTTAAAAATATGAAGTACCCCAAGCCTCAGCAACATAGCACGTGCCTCAAGAAACAAGAATTTAGTTAAATGTTTGACCAACTCTATGTCTGCAACTGTACTTTGGCCCTTAGCTCCACCATACAGCCCTTATAAAAGGATTTTTATGGCAACCATGTCACTAATAAATTCCTGCCATCCAACAAGAAATCTCTTTTTTTTTTTTTTCCTTTTTTTAAATGATGCGATGTGTTTCAGACCTTTCAAAGAATATTTGTAAGTTTGTGGCAGGGTAGCTTCTTTTGTTGACATCCTCAGTCCAGTCACACATATTTTTAAACAATTATCACTACTAGTCATACATAACTTATTCACGGTGACTCACCTGAAAAGCCTGCAGAGCCAGAGAGTAGTATCAGAAAGGATCCTTGTCGTAAGTTTTCTCAGTCTTTCCCTGTCCAGCACTGATATGTAAGCAGCCAGGCTATGTCCCAGTAGAGCCATGTGACCCTGTTCACCAACATTTTGAAGTCTGCAAGCCAGAAAAGAGTAACTGCCAACTAAATACAAGCCATGAACATTACAGTAATTTTAGGTTTGTAAATTTTTATTGTAGAGTGGCAGAATTTGTTGACATGCAATTTTAAATATTTAGCAGAGAGAAATACAGTATGTCACAGTCACCTTCCTACCATTGTGTATTAACATACTAAAATTCCAGTGTAGCGCAAAGCACTTGCACTTCACCTGGCCTAACTGCTTATGATAACACCTCAGCTTCTTTTTTAGCTGATCAGCTAGCATGAGTTGGCACTAAGCACCTTATCTGCATTGGGACTTAAGTGCATTAAACACATACCTTTCCTCATGCAGAGAAAACTCAGGAGACTTACTAATATTTTTAAAGGAACAGCTTTCATTAGTTTGGGGGTGGGGGTGATGGGGTGGTGTTTTTTTGGTTTTTTGTGTGGTGTTTTTTTTTTTTTTTAAATCTCCAAACTGTTTTTCAAATAATCAATAATCTTCTGCAGATTAGTTAGTATTATATCCATTTTCCAGAAAAATGCAAACCAGTTTTATTTCCTTTATTTTTCTTTTTTTCCTTAAAATCTACAGAGAGAGATGGTAAACAAATTTATTGGTATTCAAAGTAGTATAAGACTTTCAGACTTAGAACAACTTTCAGAAAGTAGAAAACAAAATGAGCTGTCACGTCAGAAGCAATTCCCTCGTATAATTCAGCTTAGTAATTAGCAATGAAAGCTTTATAATTTTAAGAAAGCCAAGCCTAACGCATTATTCTGTTTCACTACATAATCTAAGTTGTGTTTAAAAAGTTAGATGGTTGCACAATATCTTTACACTTCAAAACACTTAAATATGTAAGTTCAATAATAATCAGAATACAACAAAATCAGATATCCGCCACATACAAGAATTCATATTGGCTTTACCGGTAGGCCTGTGAAGTTTCCTCTTCTTCCTCTCCATGCATTAGGTTCTGAACTAACTGCAGTATGCTCACCATATCCTGGCCGCTGGCATACCGGGGAGGGGAAAACAAAAACCACACCAAAAACAAAGGTAAGTACCAGCATCTAATGAAGATGCCATCTAGGACACTGCACAGTAAGACATGAAGACAACACTGTACTTTTACAGAGTACTGAGAACAGCAACAAAAATGGTTCTTTGCTCTCAGAAAAACAGATAATGAAGAGAACATTGCTGAATCAATTAATTCAAAACCCTACTTAATTATAGTAGGACACTTGACTAAGTATGGACTCAGACTCACAGGAAAACAGACCTATTGAAATCTGAAAATTTGGACTGAAAAATTTGATTTGACAATGTTTAATTGCTTATTGCTACACAGCAAAGCAAGGTAATAGCTAAGGATCCAAACTTCTCTTCACATTATCGAGCTTCAGCTCACAAACTCAGCACATCTCTTAAACAATTACCTACAAATATTAGTTTCTGGCAAACAAAAGCTACGTTAGACTTCTGACATGATGCACTCTAACACGGTAAAACTGGAAAAGACCCACAACGCTTCAACTTGTATAATTCCAACTAAAATTTACAGTAGTATAAGAACTTACACTCTGACAGTTGAAATTGCTTTTTATTCTTAGAAAAGCTAATGCAGTGTCTCCACTCAAAACCAAGTTTAGTTTATGCACAAAAAACTTAAATAGATTTTTCCAATATTTTCTGAAGGCTAGCTTGGGCTCCTGAAGGATCCTCTTCCCAAGAGGCTACAACCAAGTTAAATCTTAGTTTTCAGGTACAATGATCTTACCTGCCTTATGCACAAGAGCTCCATATCATTTTTTAAGACAGCTGTGCCGAAAAGGTGGAGGGTTTTGGTTTATTTTGGTTTTGTTTTGTGGGGTTTTTTTTAAGGTTTTGTACCTTATCAGTCTCAGTTATTACTTTTTTTTTTTAATCTGGGTGTTTAATGAATCTTTATAGCACAAATTTATCTATATTTACTTTAAGTCTCAATCACAGCTGTATGCACCAATAATTGATTAGATTCCAACAGTTCAAAATTTCAGTCACCAAGGACAAGTAATCTTTTTTTTTTTCCTACACGAGTATGAAAATAGTTGGCTGTAAGTATGGAAAAAGTTGATATAATGCCTGGCAAATGTTCATGTTTGCATTAATACAGAAGTTGCTTGAAAAAAAAAACACGTTACATGTATTTTACAGATTCTGAAAAAAGCATTATGTAAAAATTGTTGCTGCCCACCTGCCTTGGAGTGGTCCAGGAATATCCTTCCGCACATACTTCTTTTCATTTTCCTCTTCCACTTTCCTAAGTTAAAGACACAAGTATAAACTATTTGTGTTTTATAACATCAAATATGTAGTTGACTTTGACTTGCAGAAATACATACTGACATGTTTGCAGTCTATTTCACTGACAACAGTTTCATAAATAAATCAGATGAGGCCAACACAAAGGTTTAGCTCAGGCTGAATTAAAGAGTTCTTAAGTTTTGTCTTTTTATTTTTTTAACAGAAAATGTCAAACTTACAGAAGAGTCTCATATATATATAGGAATTAAAAGTTACTTGCACAGCAAGTAACTTTTGCACAGGAAAAAAAAAATCTAACATCTTCAAAAAAAACAGACTTGCTGGACTTGCTCTGAATATTACAGAACATGCATAAATATATATATATTTATTTTAAAAATCCCATCATTTGAGAAATGGTGATTTGTATGGGTGTAAGCTTCAGAATGACAATATGACCATAAACTACCAGGAAAATGAGTTCTTTCCTGCTTAATGACAGTGACATTAACAATCCTCCCCTTAGCACAAACAGCTATTGTTTTTGTAGTTGTTATCCTTTGCACATACCTTTGATTATCTTCTAGCATCTTCATTGCTTCATTCAGATTCTTTCCCATTTCTGCTAGAGTAGGGTCGACCATCTTTCAGGGAAAAAGATAATGACTTTTACGAAAAGACCAAAAACCATTTATCTTGCTGCTGTCCCCACAACATCCTCACTACAAATTAATGCATCAGGAGGCAGATTCTTTTAATTAGTGTGTGCGTACTCATTTAAAAATAACAATATGTTATATACGTTGTATAAAATAACCCAAGAGAAAAAAAAAAATCCAGATCACAACTGAGTTGTTATTGATAGATCCAATTTTTTTCTCCACAAGGAGAACTTGTTCCAAAATCCTCTTTAATTTCTAGATACCTATTTTGGATTTTGATGAACAATAACAGAAAGACCATCAGAAGGCATGAAGGATTTGAGAAGCGCAAGGTGCTCACATAAGTGCTCATTATAATGCTTTATTGGCTGTTTTAGCCCAACTGAATGATTTTTTTTTCTTTTTCATAACCATTCTACACCAGCAATAAAATGTCAACTGTTCCCTTAAATGTAAAAATTCACATGCTGTCCTATCCAAAATTAAAACAAAACAACATCACCAAAAACCCGCTAAGGGACACCCTAATATTTCTACAGAGTATGGAAAACAGATTGATACCCTAAATACAATCACAAGTCTTTCAGCGGCAAATCTCATTTAGAAATTATCCTTTACTTCACCTCAGAACTCATGTTTCTGCACCAAAAAAACCCATTACCGTATCCTCAGTTGAGTTGACCCAACAGCCAGCTCTCATGATGTACAGACTCTCATTAAAACAAACAAACAAAATGAAACAAACCACAAACACATGACAAAAAAACCCAAGCCAAAACAACCCACCACCAAGGCAGAGAGTGATCAGTGGATAAGTACAACACTATTCTTACAAGAAAGTTACCTTCTAGAAAAGAAGTTGTTTGGGAAGCTAAACACTGAAAAATTTGACCAAGGCAGGTTTCAGGTCATTGAGCATTTTGATGCAAATTCAGGGGAAAATTTGCATCAATTGACAGTTCATTCATTATTTTTTTTTTTTTTAGATTGCCAGGTCAACTAAGAGGTATTTAAACATGTTCAAGTAATAATTCCTAGGAGAGATTAAAAAAGTCAACATTTCTTTCCTAGGAAACACAAGAAGATATCATTTAAGACGGCTCTAGCAAAGGCAGAAATAAAATGGCAGCTTTCCCTGACTTTTCCCCATTCACGTTTCCCTGTCAAACTTTTACAACAGTAGTTTTCAAAACAGATGAGAAAACACCTAATCCAAATACTCTTGTAAATCTGTTTTTTCCTATTTCTGGTACCTTTAAACCAATTTTTAATCTTAAGTTGTTGGAGAGATGCCCTTTAACTAGTCAAAAGGGTAAAACTGACCTGCAGCAGGCAGCTTAAGAAAGACTGACATGCAGAAAAGGCTTATCTTCCAGCCGCTGCAGCCCTCTGGCTACACAAAACAGGTCAAAAATCCTGAATTCACTGCTGAAACCAGGTAACAACAGATACTTGTTAAAGAGCCTGTCAGGATGGAAGAGCTTTAAAAGTCATTGAACTTTTTTCCCCTGAACCAGTGACATGTTCAAAGACAAGTAAGTAGTATTTTCCAAAGAACTGCTTTTGCTTTGAAGAAGTCTCTTTTATGAACTTTAGGCTAAGAAGCCTGGCAGGAGCTTGTGACGCTGACAGAAGAGATCTGGACAGGAACATTTATCCATTTAAGGATTAGATGCCATCTAGAAACTTCCAGAGAATGTGAAAGGTACCATCAGAGTCTGATTTACCTATAGTGGTTGATATTAAACTGTATTTGAAAAATAAATATACCCCATTATGAAGCTAGAAGGTAACAGCCCTGGTAAGAGCCATCCCGTTAGACAACAAAAAACCCTCGGATACTCAGGTGACCCTGTTACAGAGGCTCTTCTCCCCTCCTCTGCTTCCCAAATGTACTCTCGTCACAGACTCCATAAATTCAACATCAACCCTTTTTCAAAAGATCGGCCCACATACCAAAGCCTCTAGTAGTTAACCCTTGAGACTGCTGCTAAGGTTGGGAGGGTGCTAGGGGGAGGGCTGGTGGCTGTTTAAAAAAAAAAAATCCAAAACAAGTTTAAACATTAAACTTACACTACCCATACTGCAGGAATAGAATAGCTTGTCTGCTCCAGTATTTGAAAAACAGTATTCCTAAAGGCCTGCACACGCTTTCCATCACTGGCGATGGAAATGCATGCAACCGTTGCACACGTGCAACACAGGCAAATACGTTTGCTCATGCAGATGCAGACACAAAAGCAAATTTAATCACAGAAGGTAGTGGGATTAATTTACATGAGGATTTTACACTATTTTCATCCGGAGGATTGATCAAGAAAAGAAAAAAATTAAGTTGAGAGTTACCATATGTTCAAAGACTATTTTTACCAAAATATTTAGAGATTTAACTCACATTATAGCAAGCGGTAGGTGTCTGAAAGAATCAGTAGCCAGGCATGGTCACATTAGACCAAACCAAGACTGATAGCTCTCTCCATTCTGTTGCTTTAGAAGTGGCCAGTAACAAATGTTTGGGGGAAGAACAAAAGAATAGCACAAGCATTCAATAGGATTTTCCCACAAGAACTCCCAGCATTTAGCAATAAATGGGTTTTTACACTTCTGGATTCTACAACACCCAGTGGCTACAAGGTCCACAACTTAATTAAGCACTGCACGAAAACACAGTACAAATACAAAAAGTTCAAGACGTCATCACAGAGATTAAAAAAAATTACACACACTGCAGGCATTTGATACTCAAAATACAATATATATATACAGCTAGAAGAAAAATCTAAATATGATCATTGGCAATATTTCCATACATTTTCAGTGGTTTCCAGAGTTGCACTACATCAAAGAAACTCTGAAAAGAAATCTTACTTAAGAAATCAGTTTTGCTCCCAGGAGACTTTAAGGGACTAATTGACTAGACATAATTTACTGATTGTGACTGGTTCGCATACTGTCATTCAGGTTGCCGTAAAACACGACCAATGGCTGGAAAGTAGTTATTAGCATCACATGCAAATATTCAAACAGATCTGTTGTAGACAAGGACACAAGATGTAGAGGCGTCACAAAAAGGGCTCTGAGCTGCTTTTGTTTGTTACTAACACAAAATTCACCTGCTGGAATTACATCAGACATTAAAACCTGCATGTGCTTACCTTGTGACCCATCCTGTCTCGCTTACTAGTAATTACACATGCATGAAACCCTTCTGACAATAAGCTGGCGGAATAAATACATCAAATACAGTTTGAAAAGTTGTAAGAAGTTACACTAAGCTCCATAAAATGCTACAAAATCGAGCAAGTCTTTGAATTCTGATGTGGGTTTAACTGGAAAATTAATCCCTTCTGTTTTTTTTTCCAAACTGCCAAGTAGACATGCAGCAATTTATTTTCTCCTTTGAATTACGGGAAGCAAAAAGAAACCTTTTACTGCTGCATACTGAATTTTAGACATGCTTCCTCCTCTGCTCACATTAGTAAGGGCATGGAGGTGGGAAGCAGAAGGCTTATTTTAAGCAGCAAGAAAAATAGGTGCGGCAAAGTTGCGACAACAAACCACTCGGTTAAGAAAGGTTTCTGAATGCACTTTAATAACATGCCATAATAAAGTAGTACCATGCTTTAGTCTGTAAATGAGATCAAGTGTGTATAAAATCCCATCAGTAATATACTTTTTTCATGTTCTTGAACTGTTTTTAGAGAGCCTGGCAGACGAGTCCTTGAACACCTCCTGAACCAGAGGACAACACACTTTTTGAGGGAGTTAAAAGAGCTGCATTAGATATTGTATTAGCCTTAGTTTCTGCACTCAGTCCTTCCCCTGGTATCACAGGATCCGACTCTGATCACTTAGGGGATCCGTTGCCCAGGTGAGTTACAAGACATGCAACGTCCTCTCAAGCTTTAAGGGGGCACCAGCCACAGCTTCTTCCTTCAGGGTGTCCATTCAGCAGCCTGACACCTCCTGCTGCCTCAAGCCCTTCAAAGATCCAGACATTCGCTACCCTACTTTGATTTTTATCATTTGTTGCCTTCAAAAAGTATTAATCCAATTCACCAAGGTTAACTTGCCATAGGTTTGATTTGTGGTTACTTCCCTATTTTGTAACTAGTCCGTTACTATTTTTTTTTTAAGCACTTTGAACTGTAAACTGTTTCTGGTTTTATAGGCAGTATGTCACACCTTGGGGTCACTTGGCAACTAGGCAAGGGTAAGGGGCCATTCTCCAGTTGTGATAAGACTGAACGTTAATTACAAATTCAAAAAGGGGGATCTTTTGCAATCTTGATCTTGCATTTCTGTAGACTGTACTCCTAGTGTAAGAAAGGGACGATTTTTAAACAGTCTATATAACCTACCGTGTGTGCAAAGACACTCACAGGTGCAGCTCATCACGTTATTTCATGAGAAGGATGCCTCATTTTCCCACTACATTATTATATTTGCCTAGAAGAAAGTTTTACCATCAAAACCCAAGAAATGTTCTCAACAGTAAATTAATCTCAAACAATATCAGTATTCTTCAGCCAAAATAATACTGTGTTTATTCTCCAGGCTAAGGAAAGTTTTAGAGGACAAATAAAAAAGCAGCCACTTCGTGACTGTTAGGCTTGGATGAAAATGCCACTGTATCACCACAAGGCTTCTGCTTATAGGTATTTGCCCTTTTAATCTTTATCACTTCCCTGACACGCAGCAGGATTTGCATGCGGGTCTGCCGTCATGAGTTTTCCGTAAAGTTACCAGGATGTTCTGGTAATTAACGCAGTAACAAAAGACAAAAGTCATAGGGTGGGCGAGAAACCAAAACAGGTTATTTTCATATTTAGGGAAAACACTGCTGTAGAGACAGCACACAGTTACAAGGAAAGAATCTGCCCTAGTTTACCATCAACAAAGTCATCTAACCTGAAACTTAAAACGTTAAAATCCTTCAGAAGATTGGTCACTTCCATCAAAATATAAATGGGGGAGCGGGT